AACGGCGACTCGTTCCACTCGAACGACGAGCTGCGGGACAGCAAGAGCGGGACGTCACTGCGGTCGCGTGTCAGGCGGCAGCCTTGTGGTCGGACATGGAAAGCGAGGGACGATATCTGCTCGCCTCAACCGCGCTGGGGGAGAGATCAAACCGCTGATCTCCAAGCAGTGTTGCTAGGCTGCGGTTCAGGTACGGCGATGTGGAACGACGGCTTGCTGCCAGGTGTGATGGCGCATGCGATGTTTCAGTTCCCAGACAAAGCGGATAAATTGCTCGGCATGGTAACAGGGATTTCGCAGCAAAGGTCGAAATTGGCAGGGGCATGCGGTGTTGAGGTGAATAATCAAGGCATGGCGGTGTGAAGGTGAACAACGAAGTGAATATGTGTGATGGAACATTGGCAGGGGCATAGCGGTGTTGAGGTGAATAATTAAAGCATGGCGGTGTGAAGGTGAACAATGAAATGAATATGTGTGACACTGCATCTCCTCGGCAGCGAGGACTGACGCGTCCAATGTGCAGGTTGCATTGCGTAGTTCAGTACTTGAAGATGATGGGAGTTATGTCCATTAGCTCAGACCAAAATGAATCGATTGAATACGGAGAACGCTATACAATATGCAAATTGTTGCAGAGGTGGACATTCTGATGTCCTTTTACGGTGCACGCACGAATTTCAACGATTGCGATCATGTGCTTATTTGTAATACCGGGACAGCTCACCGCATTAGAGTTCAGCCACCCGTTTTCTAGGTCAACATGGACCAAGCGCTGTATAAATGCGCACATGCAACGTGCGACAATATGAAGGCGACGAGCTTACTTTCATACAGATCGTTGCATTGTCCTTTCCGTTTGACTGGTCCTGGTCTTACGCTGGTGACAATCGTTTTGTTAAGGCTTGCCGGGTGAATTTTGAATTGATTTTTCCATTTGAAATTTTTCAGTGAAGTACATCGAGGCTCATCATATTTCATGTGGACCCATAACCTAGTTGTGTACTTGTACCTTTTTCCCGCTCAAAAAGAATTGGATGCTGTTCTTAACGCAGCCCCGGGAATTTCGAAGAATCAGAGATATTCCTACGGAAAAATTGAAAATGTCTTACAGTTTTTAAAACAATTCATGTAGCATACCTCCATGAAAACTGCTGATATCAAGCAGTGTTTCCCAAAAGCAAACGCGCACAGCCTTACGACACGGCCATTCATTAAAGCCACACCCCTTATATTTGACTATCACGATGAGACACCGTCAAATAAAGTGTGTGGCAATATTGTATCTTCGTACAGAGAATCTGATGCGCCATTGTCCTGTCTACAACAACCAGCATAGCGTATGAAATTTTCCCCGTTTGCAATCCTGTCCCTCCCATACATTGCAAGAAAGTCAAGAAGTCACAACAGCTGTTCCCCGCGCCCGTACGGTGGCGGCGCGACCCGCTGTCCTTGGTCGACCACATCACAAGCCGCGCGCAGATTTTCCCCATCACCCTAACCCGACCGGTTCGCCGGCGACGGTTCTTTGCGGCGGCGGTGAGCTAACAATGCTATCACCGCGAGCAGATCGTCAGCCATGCCCAAACACGGTGCGAGGGATTTCTTCTGCCCTCGCCTGCCCTCCCCACTCCAGGCTGAGCGCCGCCGGGGCTGGTGGCCGGCCCTCAACTCCACTGAGTCACCCGCACGCTGCCGGCTGTGGCCGTGCAGCAGCTCGGGCTCGGCGCACTCGAGCCTCGCGCTCCGCCGCGCGCCGCCGTGGTCAGCGGGCGCCGCGGTCGATGCGTCGGCCGACCGCGGCGCCCGGCTTCACTCACCGGCACGGCTGGTCGGCGCCGGGGCGCTTGCAGCACAGCTCGCAGGACCTGGTAGCGTTGCCGCCGTCGACCGGATCACATTGGCATGACTCCAGCCCGTACGCCAGGCAGATCGAACCCGAACACTCCTGCCGGTGTCGGCGCGTGACGTCACACAATGCACTCTGCCAGGCTCCGGCGGCACGCGGACGCCTGGCTTGACCTTGGACACTGTGCGTTTTTGTGAATCGCTAATGCATTCGCTGCAGTCTGCAAATTTGTACAAGTGGTGAGGCAATGTACGTGCTTGTAAGTAGCTGTAAGCGGATAATGCGTTTAAGCTTATGACTGTTCAGAGAATGAACACCCGTGCATGACTGTTCAGATATTTTGAAACGCTGTGCGCCATTACGTGTGGTACAGCCTCATGAAAAGCCCAAACTACAGCCCAGAGTGTAAACCCATACAATAGACATTGCGTGCAGCGCGCTTCACGAAAAGTAGCTTGCGTTAACACTTTGTTAATTGGGTTAGATCACGATCAACAAATAGGTGGAACGCATTTACATTACTGCAGCATTTTGCTCACACACGTTTTGAGTGGCTAAACCTCGGAAAATTCATCCAAAGCTTTCAGTCAAAGATTTTTTGAAAGCACGTACCGAAACCGTTAACGCTATCAGAATCTGGTGTTTAGCCCTACAGCATTCGGACCTGATATTGTAGAGCTCTGATAGAAAGTACTCAGCCTGATAACCTTCTGATTCCCATCAACACCCAGCATGCAAACCAGCTGAACACTCCAGTATAGGTACAAATCCAGCTCAGGAACCCAGCGCCCAGCTCAACACCTCAGGAAAACAATGCCAGTTGAGCAACTCAGCGTCAAGCCCGCCCCCAGCACCAGTGTCAAGCCAGCTCAGCACCAGTGCCAAGCGCATCTGAGCACCAGTGCCCAGCCAGCTCAGCACCAGTGCCCAGCCAGCTCAGCACCAGCGGGCAGCCGCCTCAGCGGCCGCCGACCGGGCGCGACGCACGAGCGCGCACTGACCCCCTGATAGCAGACGTTGTACTCGTTGCAGACAGTGCGGTCGGGCTTGCGGATGGAGGGCGGACAGTGTGGCGAGCGGCCGTTACAGCGGCTGGTGGCGCGGCAGCCGTTGTCGTTGCGGCACTGCTGCCCGTACCCGAGCTCGCAGGTGGAGTTGCAGCACGGGCCCTGCCGGTCACGGGGTCGAGCGTCAGCGGGGTGCGGACTAGGACACGACTGATGCCGTGGCAGCACGGGCCCTGCCGGTCACGGGGTCGAGCGTGAGCGGGGTGCGGACTAGGACACGGACTGATGCCGTGGAGCACGGGCCCTGCGGTCACGGGCCGGGCGTGAGCGGGGTGCGGACTAGGACACGGACTGATGCCGTGGAGCACGGGCCCTGCCGGTCACGGGCCGGGCGTGAGCGGGTGCGGACTAGCACGGACTGATGCCGTGGAGCACGGGCCCTGCCGGTCACGGGCCGGCGTGAGCGGGGTGCGGACCAGGACACGGCTGATGCCGTGGAGCACGGGCCCTGCCGGTCACGGGGCCGGGCGTGAGCGGGGTGCGGACTAGGACACGGACTGATGCCGTGGAGCACGGGCCCTGCCGCACACGGTCACGGGGCCGGGCGTCAGCGGGATGCGGACCAGGACACGGGCTGATCCCGTACAGACTGGGCCCGGCGGTGCGCTATATGCAAAGCATGTGTTGGGTCAACGCTCTGGACAAACATGACGGAGTAAGGTGTGTATCTAGTGTCTGAGTGGAGTGAGATCGGCATTGCATGAAGAAACGTCGCCTGCTTGGAAAGAATGTAACATTAAAACGACGTGAAGCGGCTTTCACTTGGCGCAATTTAAAGCACGCATACCAACACCAGCACAAACGAAACGACCAGCTGTAGCTGAATCGCTCGGCTCGGTTACGTTGTCTACGACAGGATGGTCTCACCGCACGCGGGGCATTCACCCGACCTCGGCCCCTCGCTTGATAGCGCTTCCGGTGCCCCTGACCTAATCGCTGAGCAGGCCTTCGAGCCCTATCTGGGCAGCTTAAGCAGACGTTTTTCAGGTACCGTCACTACCTCGTTAGATGCTTTCAGCTTTACAGTTTTACGAGTCAAGTAGAGTCAGCCCGATGTAAGCACCCAGCAATCCAGTTCGCAGATCATGGGAGCGGCTATTGATGCCTGCTCTCCTTACCGCAGAAGCAACACGCGAGAAAACAGGCCTAAGACGGCTGCAATCAAGTTATATGTTATGCATGACTGAACCGCCATCCGCTATCACGCGCTCTGACCTGGCTGGGGCTGCATTGCGCACCGGCCGCAGCCGGCACGGCGGCTGGCCCGGGGGCGGCGCGGCGCGCATCGGGTTACAGCAGGCCTCGATGCAGTCCTCCTCCCAGCCGCAGTCGCACTCCTCGCCATCCTCCACCACGCCGTTTCCGCAGATGGCTGCCTGCGGCTCTGGGGGCGGCGTCGGCGGCTCAGTGCGGTGCCGTCAGCTGATGAACGGGTCATGCCAGGGTCATTCGACACTCGGCGTGGGCAGAAAAACTGCCCGTTCTTCTTCCATTCTCAATCTGGCGCAATGAGCGCAAAACGATGCAGCGTCGCCACACATCTCCAGTTTTGGCTTCGTTGCCATTATGTAACACTTCGAGACAGGAGCAGAATGAGAAAACTGAGTTATGCTGCATGGGCAGTTGAAGAGGTCAGACAGGCTCGGGTCGGACGACATTCATGAACTGGAACTGGATGGATGGGCTGGGTGGGACCGGCTCAGGTGCACCAGTCGCGCGGGGCAATGTCGGACCAGATCTGGTCGGATCGCATCGGGTTGAATCGGATCAAACTGGATCGACCTGGGTCGGGTCGGGTCGGGTCGTTGGTTGGGTTGGGTTGGGTTGGGTTGGGTTGGGTTGGGTTGGGTTGGGTCGGGTCGGGTCGGGTCGGGTCGGGTCGGGTCGGGTCGGGTCGGGTCGGGTCGGGTCGGGTTGGATTGGGTCGAATCAGGTAGTGTCGGGTCGGGTTGCATCGGGCTGGGTCGGGTCAAGTCAGGTCAGGTCAGATCAGATCGGGTCGGGTCGGGTCGGGTCGGGTTGGGTCAGGCTTCAGGCATCGCCTTACCGACAAAGCAGCCTTTTTTGGAGCGCGCCTTCACGCGCAGCACAGGCTCAATGGACCGCAGGCTGCACGGCGAAAAACGGTCGTTGTTCCTCTTGTCGCCCGACGTGGCTCGCGCGAACATGATGTAGTTGCCGTTCTCTCCGCCAGGGGTACACTCCTTGTTCTTGTCGGGATCATGCTGCGCGGCAAGAATGGAGGGGCGTGCGATTTGACTGTCCATACCGATGTTAGCGATGTTCTATCGCATGCATAACTTACAGTTCCGCGTGGGTTCGACGCATTCGACTATGACTGATTGATTTTATCAAACAAGGTTACGCCGCCGTTTGAGACGTGGCGTGATCTCGGCATTACAGACGCCGTGAGTCACCATGACGCAATCACTGTTGGACGTTAATCACAAAGCACCAAACAGGGCCGATAACATGTGCAAAAACCTCTGCCAGAGGGAGTGCCCCCCCCCCTCCCCGCGCCGCACGTGCAAGGCTGCGCAGTCTCACCTGAGAGCCGAAGTTGTGTCCCACTTCATGGGCAAAGGTCACGTGGCTCACGGCTGGAGGCACCCGTTTGCCGTAATTTAGTATGCTGATGATGCCTGAGTTCAGACTCTTCTTGCTGCCTCGGTAATGCTGGCAATGGGCAAAACATAGTTACGCGTGCATCCAAGCGATTGAAAAGTCACTGCAGGTATGTGCCGGCACAAATAGCATGTTGATAAGTGGTCGGGTTACTAATTGCTGCATCAGTGAATGAATGCTGCACGTTGTCGTTAGCGTTTGTTGCCGCACAATGTTTAGGCTGTGGTTGAATCACAAAAATACCGGACATTGTTTGCTTCTTGAAACAAACGCAAGACGACAGATACGGATACCTTGTGCATATCAAGCGCTGCCAAAGCGTGTTCAAGGACTCGACAACGCCGGACATTGTATAACGTGCTGCAAAAATAGGCGCCCCACAGTGACTGCAGAGAAAGACGGCGTTGATTGGCAGAGGCGCAGCCAAGGGGAGGTCAGGTCAGGTCAATACCTCGTCTGACCCCGAAGGACATTTTACTTTGGAAAAATATTCAGCTTAACGGGTTCAGTGACAGAGTTCATGAGCACTTGGGATACTGATCTCGAGTTTGACCTTGTTTGACCTGATTTGACCTGAAGATCACGCCCTGAAGGCACAAACATTTCACATAAATTAACTCACACACAGGTGTATCCGCCCTGCTGCATTTGGTGTATCTAGCCCTCTTAGTTTGTTTATACCTCAGGCAGCTATGCGGACCAGACGCCTCCCTCATTCAAACGCATCGTATTCAACCAGCTACCCAGGCGCTTGGCAAATAAAAACAAAAAGATGAGTGAATAGGAGGTTTAGTAAAGGCACTGTCACTCTTCACCTAAAAATGCATGAGTGGTATATTTAATAGAATTACGTTTGTTGTGATCCATTCACTTCCCGAACGAGCACCGATTTGTGGAGCCTAGCCTTCGTCTGGCACAGGACACGTCACCAGGTGTAGAGTAATCGAAGAAAGTTTATAAGTCTATATGGTGCGTACTCGGGCTTGGCCGGGTGACTTACCCCATTTTTTTCGCAGACTCCTCCCGCCTGGTTCAGGTCCCCGGTCCAAGCCAGACCTAACGTGCCACCCTCGAAGTCGCGGTACGTAAACATGTACGCTAGACAAAACGAGTCGTAGTTTTCCTCTGAAAATGAAAAACATGTCCAGGTTACTTGTGCCATTTGCTTTGTCTGAAACAGACCAAACACCATTTGTCGGTACAGTAAGGCAGCTGGATCAATAATACATATGTTCCTAGACCCACACGCATTGACATATTTCTGTCTTCCGAAATACAGTAATGTAGGGGCCGCATCCCCGCGCATGACTTCAATGTACGTTACGTATTCATCATGTACCTGGTGGAGTCGCAAGTGGCGTAATTCACTACGTACTAAGACACGTGCGGCTCAAGGACGGCAATAATATCGGTGCAATTGCAATGCTAATAATGGCGTAAAACACAAAAAGAAACACTGCTGCTGGACTGCGCAGCGCTTAAGCTGATACCCGCCATCAGCGTGACTGATTCGTCGGACCAGAACACCGCTTGCAACAGCTGCAACCTTTCAGTACATCCCTTCAGGGTCATCGCAAACACGCCACCGTGCCCCGCGCCCCCAGAAGTCCAGCTGCCGCCAGGTCCGCTGACGCTGACGCCTCACCTGAGAACAGCTCCAGGTACTTCTCCACCCGTAGTTGCCGGGGAACCGGTAGCCGACGTCGTTGACAGCTGTGGGCTTGTGCACTCGGATCCGCTTTATCATGAACCCGATGTTGTCCTGTATGCCATCCTGGTCGAAGTCTGTGGGCACAGGGCAGACATGTGAATAAGCGCTAAACAGCCCGCATCGGTTTAGCCTGTCTACGTTCCGGATACAGCTACGATACATTTGGTGACCAAATGCAAACGAGCGGCAAGCGATCGTACGATGCTATCATGTAGCTTCCAATTGCTGGTTTGCATGTGCAGGACTGGCGCCGTTCCAACGCCCAATGTCAAGGTCGCGCCCCAGGAAAAACGCCGAACCACTTAATGGTTTACAAAAGCCGACCGTTGTTAATGCATGGTAGCTGGTTACACTAAAAAGGCATTTCGGCTTGTTCCTCGGAGTACGGTGACGTTTAATCAGACAACACTTAGCCCTCAATAATGATTAAAGTTTATCCAGGCGCGTTAGATCATCGCGGACTGGGATGGAGTTCAAAACCCTCTCAACGTCAACTATTCCTGTGGCCGCCATAGCGTGAATGTTAAACTTCCACAAGCAGGGGCAATGACACCCGTACAATCCCTAATTCTGCAGTCTGTGCCCTATTTTGGCTGGTACACGGACCAGGGTTGTCTGTAAACCTTTTGGGTGCAGCGTATTTTGTACTCATCGAGGGTGACGTTGGAATTCTTTTCGACAGTTCAAAAAAAATTACAATTCCTTTTTGCCCTGTTATTACCAACACATTTTAACACGCCTAGAATAACACCAATTTTGACCGGTGAGCTATCTAACGCCCCCAAACCTCATCGCGGAACTAAAGGACGCGCTCTGTGGCCCGCTGTCCGAGAGCCCCTGCGCCCCACTTCGCGAGCGCGCCCTGTGGCCCCGCTGTCGCGAGCGCGCCCTGTGGCCCCGCTGTCGCGAGTGCGCCCCGTGGCCCCAATGTGGCGAGCGCGTTCCTGCTGAACACCGTCAGCGAGCCTTACCGACTGTCTTGTAAATCTCGTTAGCCTGCTGCACGTGGCGAATCATGGCGTCGATGCAGGCCTCTTCACTGCCGAACTGCTCGTAGAACAGGTGGTCGGCCTGCAGGTACATGGTGCACGTCGTCTTCTTGTTGTTGATTACGGCGCGCCGCCGTCGCGAGCCACTCCTCGTCCCGTTTGCGGTGTTCCCCGCGGTCACGGGTGCCGCCAAGTTCTCGTACAGCTGCGCGTGTCCCAGCCACTCGTCAACGTCGCCGTCCGGTGACGTCCGAGTGACGTCACCGGCGGCCTTGTTGCGCTCGGCGAGGCGCTGCGACGCGCAGCCGCCGGCTGGCTGGCGCGGGTGGGTGACGTCAGAGAGGCGGTAGATGAGCGAGTGGAAGTCCTGCGCTTGCTGGAAGTATCGGCTTGAGGGTTCGATGTAAAAGTGCTCGGAGGCGGTCACCACGCTGCCGTCGAACAGGCCGTCGGAGCCGATGACGCCCTGCACCACGGCGTCCTCGTCGTCTGGAACGGACAGACTACGTCAGGCGGCGGCCGCGGAAAACGCCGCGGTGCTGCGCTGGTGCCAAATGAGCCATGTCTGCCCGCCATCCCGGGCCTGACCCCAGGACCGCTCCTGGGGCCGAAGAAGCCGTCGTTCTTGGAGTCTCTTGAAGCTGCAGTGCACTAGTGGAGTGGTTTGCTTGACCTCAGAATGGACAGAGCGGAAGAAAGAGCATGTCGGCGCGCAAGGAATGTCCATTGTTTAACATGCATGCAGAATGGACGTCATGACCTACTGCTTGACGGCTACCAAATAGAAACGACGTCCAACAACTAGTCTGCTGGGACGTGTGAGTCAGGCTTACCCCAACACCCTCACTTCGGGTACCATCCACGCGACGGCATGGGGGAAGCTGGTGTCATTGCTGCTACCGCACGCATAAAAATCCTTCTCTTCAAACAGCAGGCGTGATGCGAAGCATAGAATCATAGCATTCATTCGAATGCCATCAAACTGGCACGTCCATGCAGCCGGACTACACAAAAACGCGTCACTAATATGTATCACATGTTAAAACGGTCCGGCTGACCGCACGCAAGGTGTTCCGTAGTTCAATGCCCGAAACAGCGTGGCCACAATCGGGGTGTTCGTGCGCCAGTTCCTCGCAGCATTCCGACGAGAATCCCTTCTGCTTACTCGGTTTTGGTGTCAGTCTTTGGCGGGGAAATCATCATTCTGCGACGCCATCCGTGGCTGAGGCACGCACGAAGGTCAACGTCAATGATAGCAACCGCTCAGAGCGCCTTTTTGCAGGCGTGGTATGTCTCCTCGGGCACGCTATCAAGAAAGCTACCGGTCTCTGCCATGATGTAGAGAATGTTATTACGGCCTCGAGATAATGATCAGTTGGTGCCGACCAGAACGTGCCATCTGGCGGTGATTTGGTTCCGTTTTTCCTCCCGGCCCCCTGACGCGCCCACTTGGGGTGATTATCGCCTGGCGTCGTATCAGACACGTGACACCGGGTCAGGCGGGGTCAGAAGTCAGCCCGTGACCGACAAATGTGGGACGGACACGATCACCCGTCCCTAAGCCGAGGAGAAAGGAGGAACCACCCACCCCACGCGAGAGCCAGAGACGACTTTGCCCGACGCAAGAGGCAAAAGAAGACCCTGGGGAACACTTCTGATCCTTAGCACTGCCACCGGCGGACAGCGTAAGAGCAATACGAATTAGTTGGCGTCAGCCGGGTACCCATGGTCTGCTGCTCTGCCAGAAACGGACAGCTGAAGAGCCGGCCAGCTCTCTTCACGTCGCCTTGGTACGCCCCTGGTACCCTGCACCGACAGCGGCTGACAGAAGGAGAGCCGGCCGGTCCGACCGTGTCCCGGAAATGGGCGTCACGCTGTGACCTTGGCTCAGAGCCCCGGACCTGTTTCTAGCGGGCTGACTCCGGCGCCGCCCTTCGGTCAGGTCTCGGTCGGCGGGCTCCGGCCACCAACGGTGGGAACGGTCACTTGCCAGGAGTCGCCGCAGTCCAGAAGCGGTTGGCCCGGAGGCACGGGAGGTGAGCTCACCACACGGTCCTTTATCGATTGGAAAGGCTCTTGTCGTTTCCGGCTATATCAGCTCACGGAGAACGAGCTTTATCATTTTACGGATGTGTCTTCTTCCAAAAAGGACAGCCTCTGAATCGATTAAAGGGGTGTCCCATCTTTGGGACATATTTCAAAAGCATGCTTTGTGAATATGTACACTGTGAACATACCCGTCATCGTCAGAACAAACAAGGGATCAATTTAGATTATTTTCTAGCCCAAAATTACGCTGTCAACGCTTTGTAACCGCATTATCCTTCTTCCCTGCAGCACGACCACCGTCGTTATAACAAACACCATGCGCACCTCTATTGGTGCAGATAAAAGAACGTTTGTGATTGGTCCAATGTGCAAGGGCCTGGTATAAAGGAGCACATTGGTCAAAGTTTGAACCAGTGAGTCACGGGAATCATGTGATACTACCATTCCCAAAATCAAGGTGCGCCTCGAAAAAAAAACACGGTAAGCCCCAAAGAGGAGAAACCAGTCATAGTAAGACGTTTGGTTAAATTCACGGGATAATAACATTATGTTCACGTATATTTTTGTCTAAACAGTGTTTCAAGCTTTCGTAGCATGTATTACGCAAACCTTCTGACACATTAGTTTGTTGCAAACATTACAGGAGACACACTTTGAAAAAGCAAGGGAAACAAACTGGATTACTTTCATCGCGGCGAGCAGGGATTCAAATGAGATTTCTCCCCGAGGGTCGGCTGCTTTACATAGAAATTCAGGGCTATTCAGGTGGATTTCGAGAAAATTGCCTGTCTGAACAAATAATACGCGTCTGGTGTTACAATAAGTCAAAATTACAAAAAGGTGGGATACTCCCTTTAATCAGCACAACAGAATTTTAAGTCCACCTCTCTCTAAAAAAACGCGTTCAAACCCGACGTTGCTTAAAAAAAACAGTGAGCTTCATCTGCCCCGTCAAAGGTATGGAAAGTTTCACCCATAGCTCAGATGCAGTGCACTTCGTTCATGAGCGGCAGATGCAGCGAGCTCTGCAAACATCGGCATAAGTCTGGGGATGTGACCTGTGACCCTCAGGTTCGGTCAGCTACACTGAGGCACGCGTCCGCAGGCGGTGGCGGTGGGCGGGCCGACTGCGGCTGGGAGCGGCGCCAGTCGAGGCCACAGTGCCGGCGGCCGCTCGGTCGGCTGGCGCTCACGAGCGGGGCTCGGGGCGCGCTGCGATCTGGGTTTGTGGGCGGCCCGGGTTGGCGGCTGCGCCTCGGGCGGTCGGCGCGGCGTCCGGCCGTGAGAGGCGCGCAGCGGGCCGCGACGGACCAGCGCGCGCGCCGGAACCTACCCTCCAGCGAGCCGGTGTAGACGGAGCTGGTGTCGAAGGCAACCGGCCCCGAGCTGCTCTCGAACACGACGTCCGGCGCGAAGACGGCCCGGTCCGGCCGGAGGCGGAGACGGAACTCCCTGCGGGTCACAGGTCACGAGGTCAGACGAGGGTCAGGACTCTGCTCACGGAGCCGCGGCCCCGACAGCCGGCATGAGGAAGTGGTGTGTGTGAGTGTGAATGTGCATGCACAAACCCTTTTGCCCCGTCAAAGGTGTGAAAGACCTTTGACGGCCGAAGGTTTTGAAGACCTTTGACAAAGGTCTATGCAAACCTGTGTGCTGTGAAAGTCGCATGGAAAGCATAAGAGCGCCTTGCGTGAGAGATGGACTGCTTCAGAGAAGATTTGAGCCATGAGCAAATATTCATTGGCTTATGATGGGGAAGAAATATGTTAATGAATTACATCCATCCCGTATAGAGCTGCTTGCTCCTTATGCATTCGGCACAAAGATTACCCTTGCCGTTGAATCACAGACACCGAAGTCGTTTTGGTTATCCAAAAAGCCGACGGAAATGTGTCATATGCAATAACTGGAGCACTTCCACATGAAAAATTGCTTTCGTAAAATGCTGCAAAATTCCCCGATACTTTGAAAAAGTGCCTGTTCGGCTACTATATCGAATCTTAACTCCAACTCAGCCGATCCGTGGTATTGATGCCGGCCTGGGGCCTGCGCTAACGGTAAAACTTCAAAGAAGAGACTGTAATTGACTTCAGGGAATTCACCATCTGTTGACGCATGGGACGGACAGGGCCAGACAGTGGGCCACATATGCTTCGGAGCGGTAACGATCCCGCCCGAAGAATTACAGCATTCCTCAACGGAGCGTCCGACCTCATTTGCCAGCGGAAGCGGACTACGCAAACGAGCCGACGTCTGCGGACGAGCCCAGCTGTGCATTCAAGGTGATCGCACATGCACACACACGCGGCTTCATTCAGGCACACCGCAGCACGAGCGTGCACCCATGCGGCCTGGGGTGTGACGGTGGGCGAGTCGAATGGGTCGACAGTCGGCACGCTACGCGCCGATCCGTCTCGGCCGACTCGGCGCCGGACTCGGCGTCCAGTGGCTGTCAAACTAGCGGTCGGTGGCTCGCAAATCGGCCGTGACACTAATTGGGCGTAGAACGCGGAGACGCGACTAACGCGGCACGCATATCGTGCGATCGCCGTTCCTCCGCCGGCGATTGCGCCGCGGAATGCGACGCGTAGGTAAGCGTGCTGTCTGATTCCGCGGGACGCGCGGTCGTGCGCCGCATTCGGAATGTCCCAGACGGCGCTGCGATGCCAGCTTGGCGGAAAGTCGAGTCCAGCCAGCCGCGTTCCCAAGCGGGTCGTGTGCAACACCGGTCAACAATCCCACCCTCCCCTCCCCCCCCCCGCCGGCACACACACACACACATCACCACCGCGGTCGGTCGGAGGCGGTGATGTCTGTCGGTCGGCGCCGCATCGGAAGCGGTCGTCGACCGACCGCGTCGTCGGTCTCTTCGTGTGAAGGAATGCAGTCTCCGGGCCTGGAGGGTATGTTTCGTTGCAGAGCTCAAGTCTCCGTTGGGGTTTTCGAGGTGATGCGTTGGACGACGTGAGCTGTTGCTAGCCAGTGATACACTGGTGCTATTACAACCCAGTTTCTGTCCAATTCCAGCTGGAGAACAGCGCAAAAAACGATGTGTTCAAAGCCGTCTTTTTCGAAAAGGCACCGTCTGTCTCCACGAGCGTTTATTACGTCCCGGTTTCGGAGAACTCTGAGCACCCAACATCACGTCAGGCTGCTCCAACAAGACTAATGGTTCTTTCAACTTCCCTGACATTTTGGACGTTCTTTTAGAAACTGATCCACAAGACGTACCGTTACATCGCACAGAGGACGGTATGAAGGCGAGCCTGAAGTTCGGATTATCGTGCGGAATGTAGTATGACGGTAATGTGGTGGATCGTCACTCGCCATCAATTAAGGGCTCATTATCGCGTGTGAATATGTCATAAGAGGGAGATTGCAATCTGAGATATTTAATTATCCAGTCAATCCTGCCGAGCCGTAGCGGAAGGATTGTCGATTGCCTGCCGACCGTGAAGCGGATTTTCATTCCGGCATTCGTAAGGCAGGCAAGCGGCCGACCTCCACTGAACTTGCCGCATGCCTGCCAGTAATATTAAATATATTTTCCAAACATTTTGTTAAAGGGCTTCGTCACTTGATTAATGGACACATTGTCTGGCAGGAAAAGTAAACAAGTTGGCTTTTGTGACTAGGATTTTTTGTGCTTTGTGCTTTGTGCACAGAAAAATATTGCGTTTTTTCCAGATATGCCTTCATAACCTATATGCATGAGGCATCGGGATTCAACCATATTGGGGCTTACCTCTCATCATACTTCGCATCATTGTTTTGACTGTTGTTCACTTCAGATGGACAACAGCCAGCGTTGCCATCTAAAATTAATGTTGTCACATAATCGTAATTTAGGATCGGGATCAGTGTTCAAGCATATAAATGCCATACATATACACTATTGCAGCTCTTTTAACCTGCCGAGCCAACGACACCACAGCGGTGTGTTTTGAGTACTATTATACTGAGCACTCGGTGCCACTTGTCTACCATGTGGCCCATGTTAAAGGGGATATAATATCACTTTCAGCGTTTAAGGTGTTGTTAAATCAGACGAATGCGATTTTATCAGTAATATCATTTCCTCGAAATACTTCTGCAAAGCTCGGAATATCGGTTGACAGTGGCCGCTCCTGCGGAAGAAATCTCATTTGACTCCCCTGCTCACTGCTATGAAAGTAAGACATTACATATACCTCGCTTTCCCAAACGTGCCCGTTCCGTAATGTTTTGCGACAAGCTACATGTCACATGTTTGTGTAATGAATGCTATAAATCCCTGAAACATTCTGGACAAAAATGCATGCGATCATAAAGCTTTTATCTCGCGAATTCATTGGGATGCTGTAATATGGCTTAAATTTATCCCACATCTCTCCAATATGGCGTTAACCACATTGGCTCTTTTCAAGGCGGACTTTGACTTTGGAAATGGAAGTTTCACATGGTCCACAGTGACGCACTGGTTCAAACTTCCAACCAATGCGCGTCTTCGCAACAGGCCCTTGTCGCACTTTGACCAATCACAAGCGCTCTCTTATTCGCACTATTAGAGATGCCACGGTGGTTGTCATAACAACGGCGATCGCGAGCGCAAGGAAGAAGCGTGGTGATGTTACAAAGCGCTGACAGCGTACTTTGGACTCGAAGATAATTAAAATTGATATCCCTACTACGTCTTGACGGTGCTGCAGTGGCAATACCCAGTGTTTTCATAAGACGTAACTGGTCCTGAGGTTCACTAGAGCATATTTTTGAAATATGCTTCAGATGTGGAACACTACCTTTAAGACCAAAACATTGCAGAATTTCTGCAGCGCAAGGCGCGGAAGGTTGCCAAATAGATGCCACTGCACTTCGGAGATAAATGAACTTTCTTCGCCTTCAAGACACACTTAATGTTTTGCCTGTTAAATATTTTAAAGTTGAAGACCTCCCCTCATTAAACAATGCCAAAAATAATAAGCATTTTAAAATGGATGCGCCGTGAGAGATTTCAAGCTATGAGATGTACGATCAAACTTAAAGCAGCTGTGCACGTGTGCCCAAGCCTATGGCGTGTGCTGTATGCGGTTGTTATGCACCCAGTTGTTAAAGCTGTATGCAGACCGCGGCCGTACAGCAACGCCATGCGCTAACTAGTTTCCATGCCGACACACATGCCACGTTATAACCGTGCAAGCTTGTAAATTATGCTTTGGGCTCCCAAGCCTTGATATTTCTGCGAAACCCCAACGCACTGTTCATAATTTCACCACCTCCACAAATCGTATTGACGCGCGATTGGTGGTTTGCGGTTTGAGAGCCACTGAACTCTCCCGAGTGGGCGCTGAACGAGCAGCGAGCCGCCCAATTTTGCTGGTCCGTCTCCGCCCGTTAGCCTTGTGGCTGCCAAGACACCTATAGTTTGGCTGTTTGGAGCGGGCAGGGCCGGTCTCTGTCCGCCGACCTCACCGGGCATCAGACGATACAGTTGCGAAGCGCGACAGGCGCTCCCACGGACGTCTCCCTGATGTCGCCTCGGGCGGAACGACGTCCCGCTGATTTTTTGGGCGCGACGCTGGCTCGCCGCGCCATGTGGTGGAATGACACAGCCGGTGGGTGGTACCTGGCCTTCATTCTCTTCGCCAAGGTCGCAGAACTGCGCTGAAAAACGCCGTTGGGATGGCCGATACGACTGGCGGGGGGAGACGCCGACGCCGACCCGACCGCCGACGGCCGGTCGGCTCCGCCACCGCCGCGGCCGCGGAACCGACCACCGGCGCCGCAGCCGACGTTCAGCCGGCCACCGCTGACGTCATCGGCTGTGGTCAGCTGACTGCCATGGTCAGCGCCACCCGCAGCCGACCGCGCCAAGTCCGCCGCCGAGTGAAGCCTGCTGGGAAAGCCGACGGAAAACCGTTGGGCCGCGCGGAGAAATGAGCCAGCGCGGTGACCTGTTTCATATCCCGGCCGACACGCCGTCCTGACCCACTGCCGCGCGACACTGAATGGGGTGGCAGCGGCCGCCGCCGACGGACGGGGCCGGGCCGGCAGGTCGTGTATGGGGAGACGGGACGACCCGCCTCGGCCGCACCCGTGCCGTTTCGCAATCGGCCGCATCCACAAAATAAGACCTCGAACTTGTGATGCAACAAAGCGGGCAGCCACGCGTCCTCGCAGGGCTCTCAACGGCTTCCGGCACGTGGCGTACATTGATCAGTGTCGCGCTGTGGGCTGAGACATGCACTGGCGCGCAATCACTGCCCGGTTTGCCGCCGCGGTAACGGACCAACGACCGCCAGCTGTTGAACGCGACGTGGGCGGGTCTGAGTCACAGGCACTGCTGGCCGGCCGGCCGGTGGCGCGGCCCGTGCCGGTACAGCGCGAAGCCGCAGCGCAGCTGTGACCTGGCCTGACCTCCGGTGGCGGCCCGCGGGTTCCCGTGTGACCCGTGTCGCCGCGCTGCCGCCAGCTGG